TTATCTAATTAAGTTTTTATTTATCATAAATTTTAATATTTTTTTAAAATATTTATCAATAAATAAAATTAATATTGTGCTACAATATAATTTATTTATCATAAATCTAAAATATAATTTATATATTTAAAGTATCTATTTATACAAATTTTAAATATAATTTATATATTTAAATTAATATTTATTTGTATATAATTTATTTTAAATTTTAATAACATATAATAAATATTTAACTCGTGTATTATATATATTAGAATATTAATTTAAAACAATTTAAAGACATATTGAATAATTAAACCAGCAACGTGATAGACTACTTGAAAACTTTCAATAGAACCCTTGTACTTATAATAAAACTCTTACGGAAAATGTAGTTAAGGTTTAAAATAATTATTCAAGATTTTTTTAAAAGTTTAATTATGTTTTAATTTTTTTAGTATTATAATTGTGTGATTTTGATTTCTAAGGTTCTAATCGAATAATTTTAGTCTCTTAAATATTGTAATTGTGAGGTTTTGATCTTCTAAAATTTAATAAAACAATTTTAGTTTCTCAGATATGATAATTGTGCGATTTTAGTCTTTCAAGTATCGAGATTATACATTTTTTTTATCCATTTAAGTTATATATATATATTTATATATGTATATATATATATATATATTATAATTTTCATTTATGTATAAAATGATATATATTTATTATTACTAAAATTACTTATATATGTAACTTAAATAGATAAAAGATTGTAAAATTGTGACACTTAAAATACTAAAATCATACAATTACGATATTTGAGGAATTAAAATTATTTAATTAAAATTAAAAAATTAAAATTAAAAAATTAAAATTAAAAAATTAAAATTATACAATTATAATACTTAAGAGCCTAATATTACTCAATTAAAAATCAAGAGACTAAAGTTACACAACTACTACAATTAAAAATTAAAAACACATTTAAGTTTTGTTAATAATTCAAGGTCATCCCTCTGTTTTAGATATATAAAAATCTATACTAATATATAAAGGAGATACTTTTTTCCGTAACCACCTTAGTCTCCACTTTTTTTGACCATTATATCCTTTTATTTTAAAAAATTAGAAATTTTTTTAATCAAATTTAAGAACTTGAAACTAATGAATCTATTCTAATATATAAAAGAGATACCACTTTCAATAACTACTTTTAATTTTCATTTTTACATGAACCATTTTATCCTTTGTTTATTTTTCAATAACTACCTTTTTTATGAGTAACTTCTCATTTTTTTTTCTTATTTATTTATTATTTTTAATACAATGCAGATACATAATGTCTTTTTCTAGCTAGTCTATACTAATATATATAAAAGGGATACACTTTTCAATAATCTTGGTCTTCACTTTTTTTTGACCATTATACCCTTTTATTTAAAAAAAAAAATTTAATCAATGAAACTAATGAATTAATCATAATATTAATTAGATCAATATATTTTTATTATTTTATTTTTATTTTATTTTATTTTAAATAGAAACACAAAGTGCCTCGACCTACTAGTAAAAATAAATAAAACAACACCTTCTTTGGATCACCGACACGTGCCTTCCTTCCTCATTTTTGTTCTTACCGCTGGCAATTTGTTTTTTTCTCTTCAATTCCATATGCGTTGGACCCGAATGGCATAAGATAATCAATCAAACATGTGTCACAAATGGCATAAGATAATCAGGTTAGTTAAATTCTAATCATAAAATAATATAATTTTTTAGTATTAAATAATATATGGGGAGCGGCAAATGACATAAAAGTATTTTAAAATTAAAGTAAAAATTATAAAAACTCCATTTTAGTTTAACACGTTTTATTTTGAAAATTATATTTAAAAATAAAATAAAAAATTTGCAACTATCTCAATGACTCAAACTAAAGTACACCTTAAATTAATAGGAATCACGCTAAGGTAAGGTTTCTATCTAATCCATCTAGAGTAGGACCTACTCTATATATCTATTTGATTTTCCAGTTCTACCTGGCTGACTTAATAAAGAAATGGAACCATAGCTAAGACTGATGCTTGAGCCTTCTCTCTCCTTGATCTGTCTAGTTCTATTTTGACTAATGATCAACCAATTCTCGTCATTATATGTAATAGCAACTTGAGTTTCTTAATTTATTATTACTAAAATTACTTATATATGTAACTTAAATAGATAAAAGATTGTAAAATTGTGACACTTAAAATACTAAAATCATACAATTACGATATTTGAGGAATTAAAATTATTTAATTAAAATTAAAAAATTAAAATTAAAAAATTAAAATTAAAAAATTAAAATTATACAATTATAATACTTAAGAGCCTAATATTACTCAATTAAAAATCAAGAGACTAAAGTTACACAACTACTACAATTAAAAATTAAAAACACATTTAAGTTTTGTTAATAATTCAAGGTCATCCCTCTGTTTTAGATATATAAAAATCTATACTAATATATAAAGGAGATACTTTTTTCCGTAACCACCTTAGTCTCCACTTTTTTTGACCATTATATCCTTTTATTTTAAAAAATTAGAAATTTTTTTAATCAAATTTAAGAACTTGAAACTAATGAATCTATTCTAATATATAAAAGAGATACCACTTTCAATAACTACTTTTAATTTTCATTTTTACATGAACCATTTTATCCTTTGTTTATTTTTCAATAACTACCTTTTTTATGAGTAACTTCTCATTTTTTTTTCTTATTTATTTATTATTTTTAATACAATGCAGATACATAATGTCTTTTTCTAGCTAGTCTATACTAATATATATAAAAGGGATACACTTTTCAATAATCTTGGTCTTCACTTTTTTTTGACCATTATACCCTTTTATTTAAAAAAAAAAATTTAATCAATGAAACTAATGAATTAATCATAATATTAATTAGATCAATATATTTTTATTATTTTATTTTTATTTTATTTTATTTTAAATAGAAACACAAAGTGCCTCGACCTACTAGTAAAAATAAATAAAACAACACCTTCTTTGGATCACCGACACGTGCCTTCCTTCCTCATTTTTGTTCTTACCGCTGGCAATTTGTTTTTTTCTCTTCAATTCCATATGCGTTGGACCCGAATGGCATAAGATAATCAATCAAACATGTGTCACAAATGGCATAAGATAATCAGGTTAGTTAAATTCTAATCATAAAATAATATAATTTTTTAGTATTAAATAATATATGGGGAGCGGCAAATGACATAAAAGTATTTTAAAATTAAAGTAAAAATTATAAAAACTCCATTTTAGTTTAACACGTTTTATTTTGAAAATTATATTTAAAAATAAAATAAAAAATTTGCAACTATCTCAATGACTCAAACTAAAGTACACCTTAAATTAATAGGAATCACGCTAAGGTAAGGTTTCTATCTAATCCATCTAGAGTAGGACCTACTCTATATATCTATTTGATTTTCCAGTTCTACCTGGCTGACTTAATAAAGAAATGGAACCATAGCTAAGACTGATGCTTGAGCCTTCTCTCTCCTTGATCTGTCTAGTTCTATTTTGACTAATGATCAACCAATTCTCGTCATTATATGTAATAGCAACTTGAGTTTCTTAATTAAATTGTGCAGATTCTAATTTTGATCTTCAATATAAAATATTATATTAAAAGAAAAATGTTCATCTTATATAATCCTTCAACATCCAAGACCCACCTAGCGAAGCAGAATCAAAGCAGCAGAAAAGATGGATAAACTTATTTCAAACGGGTTTATTGTGGGATCTGTCCCTGAAGACTACATATTCCCTCCAGACTTGAGACCAGGAAACCTCGAAATCCCCTTGAGCAGCAACATCACTGTGATTGATCTCAGTGAAGCGCAGAATGGTGATAGAACCAACACAATCCATAAAATTATCAAGGCTTCTCAGGAGTTTGGATTCTTTCAGGTTAATTCACTCATCATACTATTACTTTTTAATTTATTAGTATTATAAATCTTTCGTGTACCAAACATCTCTTTAGAGATTGTAGAACTTGTAGTTAATGTTTTATGGAAATTGGGAAGTAATGTGAGATTAGAGCAGGTTATCAATCATGGAATCTCGGTGAATCTAATGAATGATGTAAGGAGTGTTTTCAAGGAGTTATTTGAGATGCCAGCTGAGGAAAAACAAAAATTGTGTTCAAATGATCCTTCAAAGACATGCAAGATGCTCACTAGCAGTGCCAGTTATGCAACTGAAAAGGTTCATCAGTGGAGGGACAATTTTAGGCACCCGTGTCATCCTTTGGAGCAGTGGCAACACTTCTGGCCTCAAAATCCAACCAGATACAGGTATAAATTAATGTGAGAAATTTTAAAACTTTTATTTCTTCATTTACAATAACAAATTGTTTTGGTTCATTCAAATATTATTTGAATTGAAGATTTGTCCTTTTCCCCCAGAGAATGTGTTGGGGTGTTTTCAGTTGAAGTTAAAAAGTTGGCATCGAGGATCTTGAGTTTGATTAGTGAAGGGCTTGGTCTCAAGTGTGGATATTTTGATAACGATCTCACTGGATCAATGCTTTTGAATGTTAATCATTATCCACCATGCCCTGAACCAAGTTTGACACTGGGAGTAATTAAGCACTCAGATCCAAATCTCATAACCATTTTACTCCAAGATCATGTTTGTGGGCTTCAAGTGTTCAAGGATGGAAAGTGGATCGCTGTTGAACCTATTCCCAATGCATTTGTGGTAAACATAGGCCACCAATTGCGGGTACAATTTTCTTAGTTTGTGTTTGGATACTCTTTGTGATTCACAGTCTCTCTTATATTTACGTCAAATTGCTAAAATGAACATGAAAATCTGAAACTACATAGAATAGCTTTGATATGAACGTGATTTTAGTTGACTTAATGAAAAACCAAATAGACTTTGCAAAATGTTAACCAGTGTTCTTAGGTCACTGTTTTAAAAATCAAAAACAATTTTTTTTTATTGAAATTTATTTTTGCACATTTTTCCTTTAATTTTATCACAATTTTTAATAAAAACTTTCTATATATTAACTTCTTAACCGGGGCTTATGACATCCATTAGCAAGACCCTTTTTCTTATTATTAGTGTATAATCTATGGATTGTTTTCATTCCAATTAATGAACTAAATTAATGCAATTGAATCGATCGAGTCTTGTATTTGTTTCCAAATTCCAGTTACTTTCAAACAAAATTGTATCTAAACAATCACTACAATAAAATAGACTTTTAGTGGCATTTAATATAACTTTTAGTGGTAATAAAAATTGTTACAAAATCTTTTACCTACATTTTTATATTAGCCATTGTATGTAGTGTTGCTAAAACATTTAGTAGCAATTATTCTAAATGCTGGTAAAAACTCTTATAATGATAAAAAAAAGTGTATAACTTTTTGTGACATTTTTTACTTTCTAGTAGATGTAGGACTTGTAAAATGAGTGCAAACACTCTTTAATTACTTTATGTCTAGTCGATGTGGGACTTGTAAGATGAAGATTGTCTTCTACTTATATATATATATATATAT